CCTCCTCAGACCCTCCCCACCCCTTGGAAATTCCAATCCCCCTCTGTGGGGGAGGTATGGGTATTTTCTGGTACTACACAATATACCCTTCTCAGACCCTCCCCAACCCTTGGAAATTCCAATCCCCCTCTGTGGGGGAGGTATGGATATTTTCTGGAACTACACAATATACCCTCCTCAGACCCTCCCCACCCCTTGAAATTTTAGTACCTCTCTAGAACTACATGAACCAAAATTAACCCAAGTTGTGATTTTTTTTTCTAAGGTCATGAATGATGATGGTCATACYTCTAACATCAGAGATAAGATTCTCACTATCAATGTAAAGCCTGGCTGGAGGGCAGGAACAAAGATCACTTTTCCTAAAGAGGGTGACCAAGGACCCAACAATATCCCAGGTAAATGCTCTTCAACGTTGTAGTGGTGTGAGCGCTCGCCTCTCATCAATGCGACCGCAGTCAGAGTCCCGCTGGGTTCAATGTTGTATATGATTAGAATTGCTTGTTGCTTCTCTCCTGTGCTTCGATGGTTTTCCGGGTTCTCCTCCCTCCCCAAAAATCAACTCCTAAATTCCAATTTGATCACGGAATGAGGGCCACAGGTTTGTTAGCCACTGGCTATTAAGTGCTACCCTTGTGAAAAAAGGGCATTTTTTTAGGGGGTAACCAAAACAATAGAGGTTTTGCACCATTACATGTTCACACCCATAATACAGCTTGCACTGCCTGTGGTTACATGCCAGAACAATAAAATCCCTCTACTTTCGGGAATTGAATTCTTTCTCATGTAAAACTATTGTATTGTTCCTGCCATCTAACATGGCTGCTGTCACGTAGTGGTGCAAAACCTCTAATACAATGAGCAATCAACTTTGGAATAAGGCTTGATAGACAAGATAAGGGAAGGTGRATTAGTGAAATAGTGATCTTCCATAATATTTTGAGTGTAGATTTATAAACCTTTCTCTACCATTCTTGTATTGCAGCTGATATAGTGTTCATYGTCAAAGACAAACCACACCCAATCTTTAAGAGAGACAATGATAATCTAATTTACACTGCATCTGTACCACTTGGAAAGGTAAGAAGTTGTAGGATTGAGTAACCTTATCCATCATCTCTTATCCTCTTCCCTAAGGCACACATCCACACATTAATTTRCTTTAGATCTTTTTGGGAGCTTAGGGGTAATGATTTCCCATTTCAGACCAAATCATTCTCTTGGAAATTAAAAAATTTTTCRGGGTCTCACTAATATAATTTATGTACCTTCTTTTGTTTGGTGGAAGAAATGAAATGGGGAAAGTTTACATCTAGTCTAATGCAAACCAGAAAGGTTTATTGCATCCCTTCCTTCCTATTTCAAGATTCAATATTATGAACCAAGTGTTTTGTTGTTTGTTACTAGGCTTTAACAGGCTGTGTAGTAGATGTACCAACCTTGGATGGTAGATTAATCAGTATCCCGATCAAYGACATTGTCAAGTAAGTACAGTACCATCTAACAGGGCCTACCTCCATTTGTATTGCTAGGTGGCCAYCCCAGACAAAAATCGAGACATGCACTTTGCAATAGACTGCTGTCAATCAAACATGTTGATGTCATTTACATGCGTGATTCAAAAGGCGCCAAAACTTGTCAATTGTTTACAAGTATTATGAGCTACACTCACCGGGCCTACCGGGCCGATTCAAATGACGCGTAAATGACGTCAACGTGTTTGTTTGACGGCAGTCTATGGCAAAGTGCACATCGTGATTTTTGTCTGGGGTGGCCATGTAGCAATGAAAATGGCAGCAAAATAACGGCCAGACATTGTCCACGTCAATGGAATTTTRCCAGCTGAACAGCAAGTTAATTTCACATGGGTGTGTTTCACACAGTGTTTGCCACTCAGTGAAGGACGGTATTAGATTTATGAGACTCATTCAGCTGATGARTATGAAACAATGTAAAAACATTATGCTGAAGCTAAAGAGGTCTTATATTGGTGTTTTTATTCCCCTAGGCCTGGATATCAAAAGGTTGTACCAGATGAAGGAATGCCGATATCAAAAAACCCAGAAGAGAAGGGCAATCTAATCATCCAGTTTGACATCCATTATCCCWACCACCTCAGTCCAGAACAAAAGAGATTACTCAAGGAAGCTCTACTGTAAATACTTCCATTGCAAAAATAATTATTTAAGACAAAAATCGACCTTAGGATTTTTTTTAGTAGATACAAAAATAGATAATCTCAGAATATGAATATCAAAATGGGTTAATATTAGTATGAAATATGAAGGGTTATGATACAAGGAATTTTGCAGTAAAGTCACGTCTGCTAAGATTAAAAAATAATATCCTGCAAAAATATATTTCTATATATTTGTATTAATTTTATGGTTTGCAAAATTGAAGAACCTTTCTAATTCCTTTATTCTACTTTATACTTATATTGAGAACAATCAGACATTGTAAATAAACGAACCTTTTTGTATTTATTCTCTTTTTGTATGCATTTATACATAATAATTACTTGAAATATTACAATATACAACTGTGGGATCTCTGTGTGAGAGAACCAGAAATCTACAATGYTTAGATGACTTCAGACCTATTTGAGGTATATCTAACAACACAACGTGCGATAAGCAGGTGTTGACTTCATATGTGGCTGTAGAAAAAGATRAACAGTAGCAGTTATAAATTCAATTTAGCAAATAATTATACAAAACTAACCAGGAAAAAATATTGCTGAAGTTGATTCATATACCCCTTGCATGTCRCAGCAGCTCAATTTGAAAGACAAAACAAAATAATTTCAATCTCATGAGAATTGGAAACCTATTGTTAAAATAATTAATGTTGATACTGTAAATTTTAATGTAAATTTTTATGTCCTCCAATTTGAGCTGCATTCTGACGTGCTGCAAGGTGCCTATTGTAAGGCACATTTTTGTACTTACTGAATAAGGTGCCAGTGGTCCTATATAGTAGCTGTACCTCCTCAGGGCCTCTCTGATGTGCCAGGGCTGGATACAGTCAGAACTGATCTCTTGAAGAGCTGAAGATGAACTCTGTAAAAAATATGATAATATTTAAAGTGCATCCTTGTACGTAGAGTGCATTTGTGTTAATAATATTTTAATATTTGATTCAATATACATCTGTCAATAGCCCAGGGGGTGTACTCGGGTGGGTAACATGATGGGGAGGTCCGACGTATTTTTTTGGGTTGACAATTTTCTTCCCGGTATTTTTTGGGGTCAAGAGACCAGCCACATATTTTTTTAGGTCTCGAAATGAAACCCGTATTTTTTGGGTCGTCACATCTCTGAGTTCGATTTTTGTATCAGAAAATTATTTGTTTGATTTTTTTTCCCCAGCAAGGCGTGAGTGAGTTCCGTAAACTGAATTCAATAAGTCAGTTTTGAAGTATTTAAGTCTTGAATTTTTTTGGGTGAGAAATTATTGGATTCCATGTATTTTTTGGGTGTAATATTTCAGGTTTTAGTATTTTTTGGGGGTTGCAATATGAAGCTCCGTCGGACCCCCCGTCACGTTACCCACCCGAGTACACCCCCTGGGGTCAATAGGTGGTATGCACTGCTACGATGCTGTCTCTCACTATGTAGTTCRAGCTTGAGCCAACATTTACCTTTGACTTGCGCTTCTTGGATTTTGATTTTGATGAAGTAGAAGACACACTATGAGTTGAGCTTATACTATGCGTAGGACTTGGTAGGAAAGGTAGAGAGCCTGTGGTGGGTGTAGTAGGGGTACTAGGTGGAGTATGGTTAGGTGTGGATGATGCCGTGCCYGGTGTAGTAGATGTACTGTTTAATAATGCCTGTGGTTGAGGAAGGCTTGATACAGGAGGCATTGATGTTGCCAAGATGTCACCACCTTCGGCATCCTTCTTTACAAGAAGAGCCAAGTCCACAAGCTGTGAAGAGATAACAATACAACAAGACTGTGTGAATACACTCTGAAACGATGAAACAAGCTGCAAGCTGCTACTGCTGCTACTTTGCTGCAAGCTGCATGGTAAATTTTCCAATCAAAAACAATAGGCCATATCTTTTATATTTTTGAATGGCAACAGTGAAAAACCAAATTCCAATGGAAAACTCTTAACTACCAAGATATTGTAATGTAGTAAAATTTATCAAATTGAGCTGATCCTCGCAGTATATGAAGCAACTTATGCAGCAGCCGCAAACTGAAAAACTCAGAAAAAAATCTGAGTCTGAATGGGATTATAACCCGTGCCCTGGGGATTTCTGGCATGGTAAAGTTGTTGTAATGGCGTTGTAATGTAAAATTTGATATTAACTCAAGGTACTGACCTGTGCTACTGTCTCGTATGCAAGGTAACTGAAGATCTCCATTACAGGAGCATTTGGCTTCATATCAATAAGAGAACCACAATCAATCCATTCTTTGAATTTCCCTGCCTTCTTATCTGAACCAAAAGTATCGTCAAATCAGTGTTAATTCAGGTGTAAATACAAGGGGTAGAGCGGGAGCCTTTCATAATATTGTGTCTCTTATGATTGGCTTTTGGTACAATCACCACAACTGTCCCATTATTTACCAAGGATGTAGTGGGGATGCAATATGAATTTCAAAAATATCCATACATTGTATCCAACATGGAGGGGGATTGGATTTTCCAAGGGGTGGGGAGGGTCTGAGGAGGGTATATTGTGTAGTACCAGAAAATATCCATACCTCGCCCCAGTCACAGAGGGGGATTGGAATTTCCAAGGGTTGGGGA